ACATGAATAGGCAAAAACAATGTGTTTTTTTTTTAAATCACCAATAATTGTTTAGGTTTCAGGATTTTATATACCAAACTTTGTATGAAGATGATTCCCAACTATGTTATAAAAGATAACAGAATTATTTGATATAGACTTCCATTTTGCTTTATGCAATATGTGTGTAAAATGGCCATAAGCGGGTTTTCCCATTTTATACAATGTATCTATGTATCTAATTTGCATATTAATGTATCCTTGGGGCAACATGTAATGAAAAAAGAAGTGTAATAATGGGAGTTAGTAGTAATTGCCAAGATTTTCATAATAATATCTAATATTTCATAGAATTTCTTTCCATGTTGTCACCCAAAATGCCTGATAAACATGATTTAATTCCTGGTGTGTAGCTTGCTAAATTATTGTAACACACTTAACATACAGGTATCTTTTAGATTGACAAAGGTAATAGTCTCTTTCTGATTTTCATTTCAGAAAATGTACGCATACCCCGTTTTTCGTCGCCAGTCAGCAACATCAAACCGTCTCCTCATGGCGCCATCGGCGGAGGCGAAACAACTTGAAAATGTGGTGTCTGGAAGGGCCAAATCGAAGGAGGAGGTGCTGGCAGAGGCAAGTACTTTTGTCTGCACAAACGGTGGAGATCCCAGTGACCAGTTTTTAGTACTGGCTCACTGCAAACTTCAGTTTGGGAAGTACCAGGGTCAGAGATTTAGATGGCTTCTGGAAAACTCTCTGGGGTACGCAGTGTATTTGGTGCTCAGCATTTCCAGTGAGAAAGCGCAGACAACCCCCCTGTCAGAAAATAAACAACTGTTCCTACAGTACACTTCTCATATTAGAGAGATGGCAGAAGAAGTAGAGAAGTATAAGAGGAAGCAGGAAATGCAAGCAGAAGCCCGGGCAACTGGAGACCAGGGCTGCTTGATGGTGGAGTTTGGTGACTTTCAGGGCCGGTCCATGAAGGATGTTTATGAAGACCAGAGCAAAGAGGCCGAAGCCCTCATCAGGTACCTGGTTAAGGCAGATGCCAGGCCCAACACCAACATGGCCATTTTCAAGGCGTATGTCCTGAAAAGACGGGCTTCTGATATGGGCACCAGTGTACATCAGCCTGCACGTCCACCTGCAGCCTCCAGTACCTCTGCACGTCCACCTGCAGCCATCCAAACTGGTTTACAGCAGACCGCCACTGTGAAAGCACTGTTGGCGCGTGGCAAACATATGTCTCCTTCACAGCTGGCAAAAAAAATAATGTCACCAGTAAAACCCTGTGAGTAGGAGTGTAAATATAGAATTTTCCCTACAGCAGTTCTACATGTATTCATTTATCGTCATGGCAAACTTGTCCACTTGTTGTTTCCAGATCCATTACTGCAGTCCACTTTACCTCCTCCGGCAGCAGAACCCCCAGCCAAACATTTGGCCCGAAAGCAGCTTTTCGCCACTGGTAAGTAAGCAACATCTTACATATGTTTGTCTCCATGTATTGATCACAGTAATAGTTTTAACATTTGTGCTCCAGGCACTTCCATTCCCACTGCTGAAGATGATGATGAGGAGCTGGTATTTGCTGCATCACAATGTGAAGCACAGCTAAATACAGGTGTGGCATATGACACAAATGCAAATATTATAAAAATGTTTTGTGGAAACCCACTGAGAATCATTATTTTTGAAAATAAATAAACATTTTTAAATATTTTTTGTTTACAATACAGAATTATGTGACATCATGCCTCAAGCGGGAGGCATTCTTTGAGTGCACTTCTTCCAAACCTTAAGGATGTCCAAAGGTGTCAGTGTATTTATTTGCGTTTCCGAACTTACCTGTTGCTAAACAATCACTGGATAACTTTTTCACACCGCTTGCTCTTCTCACTCACTCAACCTGAGCAGACAGGAGGGTGGAGATTCATTGTTCTAATTATTAGAGGAAAAGTTTTTCTTTATTGTGTCTGTGTGCATGCTTCATGTCTGTGGGCATCATACTTTTTTTACTGAATTCATCACGACTCATTTTCCTTCTTTCATTCCATCTAATCCTCATTCTCAAAGAGCTATATTGATCCAATATTCCTTACATCAATAAAGTGTACACTGTGTTCTTTGCTTCTTGACACTAATACCATTTTCTTCACTGTTATTCATAAATATAATCATAATTATTATTAATACTTGTCCAAAATTACTGCTTCGCCGGCTGTTTGTGGGCTGCATTTATGGCATATTACTATCAAATAACAGTCATCCTTATATTGTTTATGTTACTGTTCACTCAGAGGCCTGTGCCGGTCCGTCTCCATCAGCGGAAACAGCACAGACACCAGCTCTTCCTCATCATCAGCCACCAGCTGAGCTTCCTAGTCACTGGAAAGATCATCTTCCACCTTTCCAGCATGAGTGGATCCGGAACACACTGTTTAAGGCCAACATGCGAAACGGAAAGCCAGAAATAGTGTCCCAGCTGAAGCTTTGGTGGTATCCTCCTCAGCCCCCTTTAATAAACACCCAGCCACCCGCCTCACCTGACCTCTTCTTCTGTCGGCCCATTTTCTTATGGATGCCGCTAAAGATGTGGTTGTTTCCTCTTGTCTGCGTTCGCCCAGACTGTGGTAAGCACAGACTTACAGCAGCAGGACTTTACCGTACCGTGCGCAAGGTCTTAGACATTGATGGGTGGTATGACCTTGCCACTGAGTATCTGGAGTGCAAACGCTGCAAAAAGAAGTATCCAGCTTGGAACGAGGACATCTTAGGACAGCTGGATATGGGCCACCGCAGTCAGTTTCCAGCTTTGCTGACATACAGGTAATTCATAATGACAATCATTCATTATTAGGCGCTTTTATTTGTGTTATTTTTTCCAACCAAAGCATTTGCATGATTATACTGTTGTTTCCTTAGATACTCATGTGACAACCGGGTGGTGAGGATGATGAGGGAGAGGACACTGGGCAACAGTGTGACTCAGCTCTACAAGAAGCTGATGGAACAACACAGTGAGGCATGGACACAGCGTGTCCTGCAGTACCTGACTGCCTGTGAACCATTCACAAGGTCCTCCCTTGTGCAGCCTCCTGTGTTTGCTGAGCCTCCCCTTTTACCTGCCCTTCCTAAACCTAAGTGGCTGTTAGCTGTGTACGCCAGGGATGTTCTGGGGCGACTGGACGAGGTCAAGGCCAAGATAACATCTGTATTTGGCTGTGTTCTCAAGATGGACTCCACAAAAAAGGTATCACAGCCCTGTTTATATCCAGAAATTGTCCAGATATGGATATATGTGTGTGTACATAATGAACAGTTATGAGTTTTTATTTTGTTTAAAAAAAAAAATTCTTTTTTTTCTTCAATAGGTCACAAAAAAACTTGCCGGTGCTGCTTCAGGAACAGCTGCCTGGTGCACAAATGTTGGTAACGAACACGGCCAAGTCCTTGTCTCTGTCCTAACAGCCGCCGAGGGACATGCACTGGACCCCATGGCAGCTGGCCTAATGAAACGCTACCGAGAGGCAGGAGAGGCATCCCCAAAGGTGATGTACGTGGACAGAGATTGCTGCAGTCAGCACGGCCAGTCTCAGGTGAAGGCCATGTTTTCGGAGTGGGATGAGCTTGAAGTGCGCCTGGACATCTGGCATTTCATGCGGCGATTTGCTGCAGGTGTCACGACAGAGGCTCATCCGCTCTATGGGATCTTCATGGCACGTCTATCCATGTCCATATTCCAGTGGGATTCAGAGGATGTGGCTGCTCTTCGCCGTGCAAAGGAGGGTGAGCTGGCAGCAAAGAAGACTGGCTACATCTCAGAAAAGGCGGTCAGTGCTCGCATTAACCGGAGGGAGTTGGCACTGCACTGCCGGAGGAGGACCAGGGGGGAGGAGGAGACCACCATATTGATTGGGTCACTGATTGATCAGTTTGACAGTGCGGACGGGAAGGATACTCTGGGAGTTCCACTTCTGAACCATGAACGGATCCAGCAGATATGGAAAGAACAGCGGAAGCATGTAAAGTGTATCCAAGACCCAGAGCACTTTCCGCTCTACATAAAGAAGGGGACACTGAAGAAAGGCGGTGTGGAGCTGTGCTGCTACAGGTGTGCTCGAGGCTCTACCTCCTTGGAGTCATTCCACCTCCACCTGAACCGTTTTATTCCAGGTATTACATTCATATGGATTACTAATTTTTCTGTAAAAAAATATAAGCACTGTAACTCCTTCCATTACGTTAAAGTAATGTCACATTAATAAATGTCACACTTTTACAGTTCTTTTCTGATGTCATAAAAAGCATTGACAAAGCTGTCTTGCCTCACAAGTCACTAATAACTCTGGTTATAACGACAATAATTTTTTAATGTAATTACATAACTCTATTACATGTAACCAGACATAGCACCTCATGTGTAGTAAATATATTGTACATATGTGACATATAAAACCCTTTTTTATTTATTTAACTTTTAGGAACCAGTGCCAGTGATGCGCATTTTCAGGCCTATCTCCTTGAGGGCTTGATGCGTTGGAATGATGACCGGATGGAAGATGCCATAAAAGGAGCGTCCTCCATCCGGTCATATGGCAGTGCCATGAGAGAGGCTGTGGACCAGCTTAGCCAGACAGTCTTTGGGAAGCCCTGGGATGAGCGCTATCGCCCTCCTGGAGCATATACAGGCAAGACATTCATTAATTTGTTATTTTGTAATACTCTACTAAGTATCTATTTAGCCTTAAATGTACTAGACAAAATATTAAGAACATATTTTTTCCCTTTTATTCTTGTAGGTGAATTGCTAGGAATAGAGTACCTTTACAGCCAGACTGGCAAAACATTGACTCCAGTGCTCCAGAACCCAGAGGATGAAGACAGGCTGGTGGAGGAAATTGATGACCAAGACCTGCAAGATGAGGGGTTTGAGGAAGAGATCACGGAGGACATCACAGTTCCAGTGCTGTACGAGAATGACCCCTGCCATGATCTCGCAAACAGCCCCTCATCTTTGCCTCAGCCTCAGTCCCCAGCATCACTGGCTGATGTATCAATGGCTGACGTGTCACTGGCTGAGCCATCCACATCAACTAGAGAAGGACAGCAACTTGCCCCTGCCCCTTCAGTGTTGTCACAGCCATCTGACACTGGAAGCAGTCTCTCCGACGAGGCTCAGGTAAAACACTTTAAGGGCTTTATTTAATTTCAATCTCGTTTTATTCCACATATATTAACATTAATCTGAATTTACTAGGGATCAGTCATTGGGCCCGATGGCATTGCTGGGTGGGACAAGGTCCAGGATATGGCTGGTTACCTGGTTGGTCTTCGTGAGGCTCCTTACCTCACTGACCTGCAGGTGACAGAGGCCATCCTGCTGTGGACAGCTCTCCATGACATAGACAAACAGCGGGTCAACTATCAGCCTCGACATCAGCCTCAGCTGACACATGGACGCTTTAAGGCACCGAAGCGGTCCGGAGTCACACCAGGTGTGGAGAGTGTAAAACGGTGTCTGATTGGACATCCCGGGGGACCAGCACAGTGGCCCAGCACCAGCCGCTTGGTTGAGGCCATTTGTACAAAGCTGTGTGCTTTACACAAGTCGCCGACCAAGAAGGCTGGAGTTTGCACCCCCAGGTGGTCTAAAATCCTCTCGGATTACCACCACATCCGAGAGCTGGTGCTTAATAATCGCAGGCTGATGGATGAAACAATGATCCAGCTGTTTGAGCTAAACCAGAAGACACTCATTCAGTGGTAAGCAAGGCACATTATTTTCTTCAAATTAACTGAATACCTTTATAAACGTATATATAATACATGTAATTTATTTTCAGGTTTCAACGGCAGCAGAAAAAACAGGAAATGAGTGTCCTTGCTCAGGGACTGACTCCACCTGACCCAATTGCTGTGGCTGATACGCAGCTTCCTCCACCGAGGGAAAAATTGGATGAAGCGGCATCAACCTCACGCCCAAAACATACATTTATCCTTCCGCCAAATCGAGAAGGACAGGCTCCTCTTCTGCGACCAGGTCGACGGCCTGCTGCTGCCACCACCATGGTGTGCCCCATTGCACCTGCCCCCACAGCATCAGGAGTTGTGCAGCCCATTTCAGCACCTGGGTCATTGTCACTAGTCCTTAACCCAGACATGACCGTGTCAATGGTGATTCCACCTTCTGGTGCTTCAACATCCGGTGCAGGCCCAGCTCCACCTGCTCCTGTGTCTGCTGCTCCTGTGTCCCGTTACACCCAGAGGAACAGGCGCCGGCGGGCCCAGGAGACGGAAAGCGGAGTCCATAAGAGGAAGTATGTGCGAGGGGTAACCTTTAACATGTGCAGCAAATGTGGGCAGCCCAAAACCAAAGAGTTTGGCCATAGCCGATATGGAAATGCCACATTTTGCTTGCGTGCCTCAAATGGAAAATCTTTAGATGACTGGTTGGCAGAACAGCGCCAGCAAAATACAAGCCAAACTCCACCTCCTCAATAAACAATTTGCTTTTTTCCTGTATATATTTTGTATATATTACTGTACATGGTTCCACCCAGTCTTTCATATTGTCCTATATATATATATATATGTGTATATATGTGTGTTTGTGTCTGTGTACTCATTTCAGTATTTGTGTGTATTCATTTTAATATTTGTTTTTTTACATTTAAAGTGTCATTTAAATATTTGTGTATTCATTTTAATAAAACATTTGAAGTGTCATTTAAATATTTGTGTGTATTCATTTTAATAAAACATTTAAAGTGTCTTAAAATAATCTGATAAATCATATCAATCAAATCATATCCCTCACAAAAAACACATATTTGAAGAAACATTTTTATTCATTTTATTAAATCATAAACAACATGTAATATGCAATATTTTTTTTAAATAATATACACAAAAAAAAACATTTAATAAAACATTTGAAGTGTCTTAAAACAAATCTGATAAATCATGTGAATCAAATCATATCCCTCCATTTTTATTCATTTTATTAAATAATCAACAACATGTAATATGCAATATTTAAAAATAATAATAATACACACAAAAAAATATAAATCAATATAATGATGTCATAGATAAATGAAGACGCAGGCGCAGTTGATCGCGCGCAGAACACGGGTTCGAATCCAGTCCGCGGGGGGTGACTTGTTTCACATGTGACTAAAACTCCTTCATAACGCACAGGAATATAGCCCTAATAATGTTGCAGGGGAAATTCTTGGGCAAATTCTCGTTTTTTGCGTCTTTTTGGCTTGCGTGCGGGGGCGCAAAGATTGGGCCCCTTCTTTTGCGCAGCGAGCGCTCTACCATTTGAGCTAATTCCCCTCGACGATGTGGTGAGAAGGTGTCCATCCCACAGCATGTGTGAAAGTGCTGCAGCGTGGTTTCCAATGCCCACAAAGCAAAGAGACCGTATTTCCTCTGTGTCGGCAACTTTGCACTGGCTACCGTTTAGTTGTACATTTAATTAAACCTTTGTGCTTTAAGCCTTGCAAACGGAAATGTTTGCGGCCAGGCAGCAGCAGGAAGGATGTGTGTGTGTTGGCTCGTTGGTCTAGGGGTATGATTGCTCAGTTGCCTCGTGTGCAAAGAAGACAGCGGGTGTTATGTGAGAGTTTACATCAGCTCAAGTTTGCTGTGGCGCGTGCATGGAATGTTCATGTTTTGTTCCGGGTGGTGGAGGCCTGTGTTCCAGAGAGGTCCTGCTCAAAACTCCTTTTAAAACACCATCGAGCATCTGCAATAGCTTCCGACTTTGATCGAATGTGGATTTTGTTCTCATAAGGAGGGCACCAGTAACTTGTAACCTATCAGGCATCAGGTCAATCGATTTGGCATACGCCCATATGTACTAGCGTTTTTTGTAGGTCAAGTTCCGGTTTGACAGACCCGAAACGGAACTTTAGCTCCGGGTTGTGATTGTGCATATTACTGGCCTGCTCTACTGGGTGAAATTGTATCCCCCAACAACATATATGGCTTAAACAAACAAAGTACACTCTGAGCCTGGCTCTAGGCTTAACCCTGACTTTACCCGCGAGACGCTATGCCAAGCCTGTGCGAAATGTGAGGCTCCGGATGACGGGCGCAATTTAGGCACGGATAAAAACCGCGACCAGCCCCAAGCAGCTCACAGCGGCTGCCCGGCTAGCTCAGTCGGTAGAGCATGAGACTCTTAATCTCAGGGTCGTGGGTTCGAGCCCCACGTTGGGCGTATCTATTAGCGTATCTACTCTGAATCCAGCGATCCGAGTTCAAATCTCGGCGGGACCTGCTTCTGCCAAGTTTGCTGTGGCGCGTGCATGGAATGTTCATGTTTTGTTCCGGGTGGTGGAGGCCTGTGTTCCAGAGTGGTCCTGCTCAAAACTCCTTTTAAAACACCATCGAGCATCTGCAATAGCTTCCGACTTTGATCGAATGTGGATTTTGTTCTCATAAGGAGGGCACCAGTAACTTGTAACCTATCAGGCATCAGGTCAATCGATTTGGCATACGCCCATATGTACTAGCGTTTTTTGTAGGTCAAGTTCTCACAAAGCAAAGAGACCGTATTTCCTCTGTGTCGGCAACTTTGCACTGGCTACCGTTTAGTTGTACTTTTAATTAAACCTTTGTGCTTTAAGCCTGGCAAACGGAAATGTTTTCGGCCAGGCAGCAGCAGGAAGGACATGTGTGTGTTGGCTCGTTGGTCTAGGGGTATGATTCTCGCTTAGGGTCATCTCCTGTTAACCTGATTCCACCTAGCCTCATCACTATCTGCCTCTCAGAAGGCCAGAGACCAGCGTGTGGTGGTTCCATGGTGTAATTCCCCTCGACGATGTGGTGAGAAGGTGTCCATCCCACAGCATGTGTGAAAGTGCTGCAGCGTGGTTTCCAATGCCCACAAAGCAAAGAGACCGTATTTCCTCTGTGTCGGCAACTTTGCACTGGCTACCGTTTAGTTGTACATTTAATAAACCTTTGTGCTTTAAGCCTTGCAAACGGAAATGTTTGCGGCCAGGCAGCAGCAGGAAGGATGTGTGTGTGTTGGCTCGTTGGTCTAGGGC